CGGGGCTGGGGGTGTCGCGCCCCCCGGGTGTCACACCCCGCCCCGCCGCGTCCTGCGCCGCCGCGGGGTTGCCGGGCTGCGGGTGGGCAGCCCGGGCTGTCGGCGGGGAGCAGCCCGGGACGGGAGTTACGGGGCACCCGTCAGGAGCTCCAGCGGGATGTGGTGCTCCCGGCAGGAGAGCGGTCCTGGCTCACGAGGAATCCACCGGGTGCCCGCAGTCCCCACGCCCGTGCAGGCACCCCGGGGATTCCTCGTGAGTGCGATCTCTCCGGGCTCCCCGCAGCAGCGTGCCGCACGCCGATGGAGGGATCCCGGAGCGGGGGCGCACAGCTGACTGCTGGGAAGAGGCTGCAGGATGTGCCAGTTCACCCTGGTGCTGAATGAAGGGCCGCGAGTAGTCCTGTTGGATTCAATGGGACTGCGTGCACTACAGGCGCTGGAGAGTGTGTGTAAATATTTGTGGGATTAGGGATATACAGGCCAGTCATCTTTTATTTTTCTAGTTCTGGATGTTGCCAGGAGTAAGGGATCGTTTCCAGCCTCCTGTTTTCATTAAAAACGTGGTTTGTTTTTCTGCAAAGCTACCAGTTTTTAGGCAGTTGAAGACGGTGATAACTGTTTATGATCCAGCTTTGAGTGTTAACATCAGTGCTGAGGAGGCAGGGCAGGTGCAATATGCCCCAGTTCCTTCTGGGGAGGAATGAAGTAGTGGAGGCAGCAGAGAGTGCCTCCTGATGCAGCGAGAAGATGCTCACGATTTTGCCTTCGCAGTTAGAGGTACCACAGCCTGCTGAATGTAGGGACACCCAAAGAAGTTATTGTACTATGTGGTCTTTCCAGAGGGTCTGTAGCTCCATTAAGGACCACAGTGTACCAGAAAGGCCATGGCTCGGGATAACAGCATTAATTTAACACCAGGTCAAAAAGCACTGGAAACCTATCAAGTATGATCTCATATCAGCAACGAAAGGAGGATTAAATCCACCAAAAGTAGTCATTCTAGAGCAAAAATGAAAGAACAGGTTCAGAAATCTGAATTCCATCAGTTGGTCTCGTTATTTGAGTTGACATCAGCTTAAGCATGTTTCACTGACTTGGAGGCAGTACCTTTAGTTTGGGACTGATGAAAATATTGGAATACCAGCTGCAGTAGCCATTTGCTGCTTTAAAGCAGGGCTCAGATATCAAAGAGACTTGACTCAGCTTTTAGTTTACACTCTAGCAGTTGACTGGAATATCATGAGTAAAACATTTAAATCTGAATACAGTCATCAGGTAATTACTGGGCCTCTGTAGTGCTGTGTTGGATTAGAACTGCAGTGTATATGAGACACACTCATGCTGACTTGATGGTGTGAGGTTCCTAAGTTAATTTACAATTTTTATTTTAAAGAATCAATAAAATTCTGTTTTCAAAACTGAAAGCCATCGAAACTCTAATCCAAAGCCCATGAGTATGTTTCCAAAAAGAAACCTTTCCATCACTTTTCATTGACTGTATGAAAGCAGTAAATAAAGCCCCATTTCTCCATGGGAGGGTACCTCTTTTTAAAACACAACGCAGAACGAGTGCTTTGAAAAAAGATGGGGAAAGAAGAATATTGCCTTAAACCTGTGTCATCAGATGATGTGCAAGGAGCAGGACTGTGCAGGAATTTAGAAAATTCCTCAAAAGCAGTAAAAGATAACACTTTCCTAATTTTTTATACAGTAACCTTAATGAACTGAAGGGTAGCAACCAAAGCTGCAGAGCCTGATGCTGCCTAATTGCTGCATCTGAGGAAAATATGGTCCCTATTAATTGAAATAAAAAATATTAGTATTTTGAATTCATATAGAGCTTATAATTGATCCAGGAGGCCTGGGGTCTGCCTTCATTCTTGTGACTTGAAAATATTTATTAATTTGTGAACACAGTGGGACACTTCATATTTCTAGAGTAAGCTTCCATACTGGTTTTTAATCAAGTAAGTTGTATTCCAAACTGGATTTCTTATACATATGTTTGGAATGTGCAAGAAAGTATAGGTAAAATTACATTAATTTAAATGGCTGATGAGCTTCTGCTAACATTGTTATAAAAATCTAGTGTTAGTAAAGAAATGCAGGAAATTCATGAACTGTTTCACATGTCAAATCTTTCCTTTAAGCCCAAGTGTTTTATGGTTTAGTTTCTAAAGTGAGCATTCTTCTTTCCTTCCCACTGATCCATGTCTGTCCACCAGAGGAGGGTGTAGGTGTTAGACACCATCACCACCCTTAGCAATCCTGGGATTAACAGAGGGGAAGACAGATTTTTGATGGATCATGAAGATGGGGTTATTGATTCATTAAGCACACTTAACAAACATCAGTGGATAATTGATATTATGGAGCATACATTTATTGTATATGTTCAGCTGAATACATACATATTTAGGGTCCAGTGCACTACATAATACAGGTTTGTATTATGCTAGGAAACATAATACTGTGTTGCCCAGTCACGGGCCTTCACAAACTTTAGCTTTTTATATACTCTTTCATATTTTTCAAGTTTCATTTAAATCTATGGTGAAATTTGCCAAACATGGTTACTTTGCCTTTCCGCAGAAAACCACTGATCTTCTCAGAAAAAGTTTCAAGTATATTTTCATATTCTTTTATTTTTAGGAAACTTTAGGAAACCACGTTCTAGGGAAACTAATTTCATAGAAATGCTTTATTTTAGGGGCTTCTTTGTTACCCTAGTTCAGGACATAAATTATGAGGCCTGTTTTTTCATCCAACAATAACAATATAACAGCAGCCTATTACCACAACGGGCTGCCTGTCACAAAGCGATCCCATGTTGCAGCCAGATTCAGACTCAGAGAAGGACTAAAGGATCTCAGCAAATCATCCTTTTTTAGAAACGTTTACATATTGCCTTAATATGGCTTGTTTATATGGAACTATTACAATTTATTCTTCAAATGCTGAAATAAGGTACCCAAGTGAGTGCTTTGCAGTTGCTGTGGCACGGTGTGACTTTAAGCACTTACCAACCACGTGTGCCTTGTTTATTTTTTTTCTTGCTACAGTCTCCTCTTGAATATAAAGGAAGTTTGTTTATAATGGGCCTCACTCACTTTTACTCTGCAAAATGTGTTGAAATTCAGCAGTAATCCAAAAGAGAAAGATGTCAGTGTTTAATCTCCCCGAGTGCACTTTAGAATAAATTGTGCAGGCTGTGCTAAAGTGATTTAAACCCAAGGTAATGGGCTCGGTTCTTGTTCACTTTGATTCCATTTCATAATGGACCATTACCCTCACCTGGCTCATTCCCAGAGCCTAACCTACAAAATTTGTGCTCTTTGGCAAGTCTTGGAGATCCTGGAAGTCTTGGTCCTTGTGTGGAGGCATGTGTGGCATTCTCTTTTGATCGGCAGCTTTCTCATAGCCTGAACTCACACACAATACAAAGGGCAGCAATTGAATTTAAAAATGTCTCAAAAAAAAATAAAATTGCATGCATCATTGAGGAGAACTGCATGTGACACAGGAACCATATGTGGAAGATCATTTGTCCGAAGTAAGTACCATTTGGGTTCCATACAAAATGTGCATTTGAAAAGTAAGAGTTGAGTATTATAACATATTTTAATGATAAATCTTTTTCTGCACAACAATTTCATATTGTTGTTAATGACCATTTTGGAGCTGTGCCCAGAGTGAAGACATTATCCTTGGATCTGGGTAATGAGTTTGTAAATGATCCTGAACAAATGGTGAAGCTATTTGCTAAAAATTTTGTTAAATCTGCAGATGAGCCTTTTCTTAATCTGGGTAATTAGCATCATAATTTGAAAGTATTTAGTTATCTAGACTTGTCCCTGGCAAGTGAGGTTGGTTTTTGTTTTTCCTTTCCTATTTTTTGATTAACTGTGAGACTGAGGGGGATTCTGAAAGCAGCAAAACACCTGGCTGTCTTTTTGGTATGCCAGAATTACTCAGAGCTACAGACTTGTTCTAGCCATGGTTTGGATGTTGATCATGCAAAGGCTCATCTGCCAGTTCTCTTGTCTTTCAATTGCTGTGAACTTTTTATCTTGGAAGGAAAAAAAGGGAAGACAGCTCTAGAACAGGCTGGACAGTCACATTGCACTAAATTTAAATAAAAGCAAATTGCCGGAATGCAAGTAAAAGTACAGCTATCACTGCGGGTGAGAGTGAGGGACCGCTGTTTCATATTTTTGATATTTGGTAAAACACATCACTGTGGTGTTTTTTCATATTTGGAATGAAGAGAGATTGTTTACAGTTCAGAAAGTTTGTGAAATTTTATTCTGGCAATTTACAGACCGATTTCCTTGCACAGTTTTTTGTCAAAATTGTCTAAAACAATTGTAGCTGTTGTATCTGCTGAATATCCAAACCAATGAAATATTTGACATTTGCACTCCAGAATTTCCATAATGAAAAGTAATTCCATTACTGTTAGAGTGCTGAAATGTTGAAGACACTAAAACCAAGACCAAATAACTAGTGCCAATTTTATTAGGATCCTTGCAGAAGCAGATTTTTGTACATTACTTATGACATTTTGTTTGCTCATAGTATGTGCTTCTTTCAACACACAGAAAAATAATTCTGATTGCCTCAGGAATGGATTCTTATGGCCTGAGGTCTAACCAGGTCAGCTGTCTCTTCAGCTGGAGTATATAAAAATGATACTGGCCATAGTTTGATTTATGTTGACAGAAAGCAGCAAAGAGCTCTCCATGTTTTGAGACTGTCCAAATGCCGGTGACATTCAGCTTATGGCTATCTTTAGTGGGAGCAAGCCAGCAGGAACCCAGAATTGGGCTGTGTCAGCCCAGAGAAACATCAGTCTGCTGTTATTACATGCCACACATCTGGGCTTGAGCTGGGTGTGTTCTGCACGCTCCAGTCTGGCTGTGCAACTTCTCCCAGAGGTAAAGTGGTGCACAGAGCTGT